TTTCCCTCAGTTCTTCTCCAGCTCTGGCCCCAACTCCACCAGCTATCACCAGTGGCTTGGAGCTGAGGACATTCTCAGACTCTCCCTACCGGTGGCAATGTGGAGGAAGTGGGGGAAGGGAAGGAGTAGTAAGGCAGATGAGACTCTTAGCCGGGGGAGAAGGAAGTAGGGGAGGAGAGATGAAAGATGTAGTTTCCCTCTGCTTTGGCCATGTGTCCCCTCTCCCTCTGCTCTGGCCTCACTGGTCTCCTTGCTATTCCCGCATCTTGCTCCACATCAAGGCCTTTGCTCTGATTGTTCTCTCTCTGCCTGGAACAGTCTCCCCTTGATATATACATCCGGGCTTACTTCCTGACTTCCATCAACTTTCTCATGTTCTTAAGCGTTCTCTTAATAGAAAAGCTTCACTGACCCAACTACAGACAATCATGTCTTCATTCCCACTCACTTTTCCTCTTACCCTGCTTTCTTGCTCTCCATAACTGTGCTTCTCAAACTTCAGTGTGCAAACCAATCACCTAGGGATCTTATTAAAATGCAGATTCTGATGCACTGGGTCTGAGGTGAGGCCTGAGATTCTGCATTTCTAGCAAGTGTCCACTTGATATCCATCTGTGGACTATATAACTCTGAACAATATCGAGATAGTATCTGTTTTCTTCTTTATTAGCTCATCATCTTTCTCTTCCAATCAGAGTACAGTTGACCCTTGATCGACACTGAGGTTAGCGCTGCTGACTTACTGCAGTCGAAAATCCATGGATAACTTACAGTCTGCTCTCTGTATCCATGTCCACATGCACAGATTCAACCAACTGTGGATCATGTAGTGCTGTAGGACTTACTATTGAAAAAATTCTGCACATAAGTGGACCCACACAGTTCAAACCCATGTTGTTCAAGGGTCAACTATATGTGTTTCATGAAGGGAGGGACCTTAACTTATTCTATGCTGCATCCTCAGCACCTACTATGATGTTCAATACATAGAAGTTACTCAATAAATATTTATTAAATGGATGAATTAAATATGTTTCTGGAAACCGAAACTGGAACTTTGAATCTATTCTGCATTAGAAATATTATTGTCACATCTAGGTACTTTACAGGTTAAACAGATTTCTGTGCCCTGCCACTGGAACCTTCCAACCACGTGACAGTAGGTTAAATAGGGGCATAAACCCATAATTATGTTCAGAGTTCAACAAACTTACAAACAAATCATCGGAACCCAATCTCGTTAGAGTTAGAGTTAGAGAGTCTGAGGCTGAATATACAGGAGAAAGCTAGAGAACAAATACCAATAAATGATTATATAGGGACAAACTGTGCATATGTGCTGAGGGAACCAAAAATTACAGGTTGTAAAAGGAAATAAACCTGATATAATTAGTTGAATATAAACCCTGATATAGCAATTGTGGTGTCCCAGATTGACAAAAAAAAAATACAAAAAACAAAAAACAAAAAAAAAACGGAAGCAAAAAACTGTAACAGAAAAAAACAACCAAGGATGTTTTTTCAGTTCTGCTTAATTATAGAATTGGTACAGCAGAGAAGTTTTCTGGCTCCTTGCCCATGAGATTCAAAGCCAGCCTTAACATTGCCATGAGATTTTATGCATACCTTCTACTAAAAAAATGAATAGAAAGTGAAATAAAATAGACTGAAAATATGCAATAAAAACAAAAGTTAAGACTATAGCTAAATGAAGAAACATTCCTCTCCCAAATCTAATCGTGGTAGTCACGGTCCATTTTTCTTTTTCTTAAACTAAAAATGGAAGAGCTCTTAAGATTGCTTTTAAATGGGACAAGGGGGAAGTGCTAGGAGGACTGTGTGTGTTTCTGTGGTTTCAGGAATTTGTGTAGGCATATTTGAAGAAGATTATCTAAAGGATATAGGATTTGTTGAGATGGAATCCTCACATGTTTAGTTTTGCAGGCTACTCTGGAGCTCTACCCTGATTCCTTCGTCAGGGACAACACACCCATCCCTGCTACTGGGAGTACTGGTTGTTGATGGTATTCCTTACTTGGAATTGCCTTGGGCCCCAGAAGAATCTTCTAAGATCTCCCTTTCCTCCCAGCGGGCAGCCCCTGGGCAATGACTGCCTGGTTCAGGAATACAAAGGCCAGGCCCTCTCCTGCAATTCAGGGCAGCTCTGCAGAGCCAGCCCAGCTCTAAGGCTCCTGTGGAATTGGCTGAGGCCTCTGCTGCAGTCAAATCACCCTTCAGCCTCTTCTGCTGTCGCTGCCATGGACCTTTCTTCACTGTAGGTGCATCCCTGGAGAACACACCCCAATATACTTTTGTCATTCCACACTCTGAATCAGTCTATTTCTAAGGAACCTACTCTAAGACATTTTGCAGAGTAAATAATACAAGTTTATTCCTGTTTTCAGAATTGCAACACATTTTCCCTTTTACCCAGGGATCATCTCACTGTTGTGCTTTTGAGCAAGTGTTTACAGCCACAGAGAATGTGATCCAGCATACTTACAAGCTCCAGTAGCGGTGAGTCCAGGGGTAGGGCCAGGCCACTTTGTCCTCAGCTCTTGAAGTAAATGGGTTACCGCCTTCCACTCTGAGCTCAGATCTTCTAACTTCCTCTTTAATAGAAAAGCACACGTTATTTATTTGATTAACATCTTGAAGTAACTTAATTCATGAAGTTATTAATTTATTTTGTGACTATATTACTGTATGTCTATAGTATTTTATTTCTAGAGTAAATTTTCTGGGTGGAATTCCTTTCAAAGGTATTTTAATTATTTTAGCCAACGACACTACAAATTTTTATCAACTGTTTGCTGCATACAGGCTGTCGCTCCAGACGCAATTTCACTGAAAGGAAGTAAAGTGCAAACATTACTGAAAGCAACACAAATAAACAAAACAACAGTGTCATCTCAGCAATTGGCTTGACTCCTTTAAAAAGTATCTAATGTGGCTGCATACAAGAATTTTCCAGAGAACATTAAAAATATCTTACTGCCCTCACTCACCCCAGATCAATCCTATTAGCAAGTCTTGAAGAGAGAGGCTGTGGTACACATGGGGATAAGCCTCTCAGAGTCTACTTTAAGGAAGGACTCTTGTCCCAAACGGTGAAGAAGATTTCAGTAGACATCCTTCAGTCGTCAGTCCCTTTAGGGACTGTCTCAGCTGAAGAGATCTGCCTTGCCCCAGGGCATTCCCTTTCCAGGGCATTCCCTTTCCAGTCCTCATTCAAGGACTGATCAAGGTGAGAGCATAAAAGCTCAGCCAATTTGGTTCAAAGCAGGACCATTTTGAGGGTCATTATAGCTGCAGAGCTCCCAGTAGAGTCAGCCAAGCCCGTATATGGTCTGTGATGTGTTGGTATATGTTAACAATTGGCTCTCTGGGGGGAAAAAACTGATTTTAGTGTTTTCTAATTTCTGTGGTGTAAATACTCCCACTATAGCCAGTTTTACCAAGAGAATGTCACGTAGCTCACAAAATGCCTGAAAATTTGCTAATAGACCCTCATGAGCAGATACAAGCTGCTTCCAGTGCACCACTGGGTAACCATAAGATTACTTATTGCCAGTAGAATGGGAGCAGAGGTAATATCTGTCAGTTCTAGGCTGACCCTTTTAAAAAATGAGTGAGGTTTCTGCACCCATTCTTTCCTTTCCCATTAGCTGGAAGCAGAGGACTCAGAGGTCGTAGGGCAAACTTTCTCAATGGATTGGGGGGAGAGTTTATCCTAATACCCTGGAGCAGTGGTTCACATACTTTGGGACCGTCAGGATCACCTGGAGGTCTTGTTAAGCCACTGACTGCTGACTCTCAGCCCCAGAGCTCTAGATTGAATAGGTCTTGAGTGGGGCCCAAGAATTTATATTTCTAACAATTGTACAGTTGATGCTGATGCTGACTGTCCAGGACCAAGGCCTAAGGTGTCCATTATAAGTAACAAGTTACCTAAGCATCTACAATGGACTAGATATGTACCATCCTTGACAAAAATAAGAAAATAGGGGGCTTCCCTGGTGGCGCAGTGGTTGAGAATCTGCCTGCTAATGCAGGGGACATGGGTTCGAGCCCTGGTCTGGGAGGATCCCACATGCCACGGAGCAACTAGGCCCGTGAGCCACAACTACTGAGCCTGCGCGTCTGGAGCCCATGCTCCGCAACAAGAGAGGCCACGACAGTGAGAGGCCCACGCACCGCGATGAAGAATGGCCCCCGCTTGCCACAACTAGAGAAAGCCCTCGCACAGAAACGAAGACCCAACACAGCAAAAATTAATTAATTAATTAATAGACTCCTCCCCCCAACATCTTCTTAAAAAAAAAAAAAAAAAAGAAAATAGGTCCTTAAATCATTTTCTATAGGACTTAATTTTCTTGAGGAATCCCACTTAAGAAAAGCTGCCAAGGGAATAAATACTAAAATAAATACTAAAAAGTCATCACTTCCTATTTTAACTATCATCTATGCTCTTAAGGTTATTTATTCTATTGTGTCTGAGAGCATGTCAAACCAGGGCTTTTAATTTCTTCTCCCAGAGTGAATGCTGTTAAACATTTACTATCACATCAATGAATATAACTCTTTTCATTTATTAAAACATAAGCCTTGAATCCAAAAGCAAACAAAAAATGCCTCTGATCAGTAAGGAAAACCACCGCTGAAAGTCATGACATGCAGAAGATATTTTTCCATTCTGACATCAAGCTAAACACTGAGAATTAAATATTATCAAAGGTTAGTAAATGAATATATATATATATATATATATATATATATATATATATATATGGTCTTTTGATTCCCCTGCCAAGTTGCAGTGAGTTCACAGGGACAGAATATTAAGAGGAACTAGAAGTTTAAAACAAAAAAATGGCAACAAAAGAGCAATAGATAATAGGGAAGAGACAATAACTGTAAAAGTAGACAACTAGAAAATGTCATGATCTTGGTCACTTATTGAAGGGATAAGAGTGCAGCAGATGGTGAAGTCTCATCATACATCATTTACCCTATAGGAAGTCACCTATATATGCCGGGAGAGGGAGATTAGAGACTGATTTACATACTGCTGAGATCTGCCCACTCTTCCGCTCAATAAGCATATGGCCCCATAGTGAGTGGGTGAGGAGAGATGGGAATTTGCTGTTTCTACAGTTGGCTTAGGTTTCACTTTCTTCTCATGGTGTAAGCATCTCACTGCATTGAGTTAGATTCTAATATTTAAAGTATTTATCTTACAACCTGGCTTCTAAAAGAAAATTACTTCATCTGGGTCTCAACTGAAGCAACAGTGATCAGTACTGAACTTCATATTCCATGCACATAATGAAACTGAACAGGACCCGGCAGGGCTCCCGGACACAGGTCTTTCTGTGTCCTCCATTTCTTGTTTGTAAGAAATAGGCTTCATTCAGCCTTCATGACCTCACTTGAGTTCCAAAGGGCAGGTTGGAACAGTTGCTAATCAGGGAAGGGAGGGGATGCGGAGACAAAGGAGGAGCAGTCAAAAAACAATAGTGCAGCCTTGGGACAGGATCCTGGTTCCACCTCAAAGGATACACAACAATATCTTTGAGCTCTTTTGCAGAACTAAAACCCCCAACAAATGGAAGATGCTAACTCCTTGATGAAGCATTCTTCATTCCAGAGAGAAGGTCACAGTTTGATAACCTCAAGAACTGGCAGAAGCTCACCAGTAGACCCCCTGGGGCCAGATTAAAGGAATGCAGGCCCTGCACACACCCAGATCCTTATCAGCAACCCAGCCCTTGAGCCACTGCTATAAAACTCCTCACCAAATTCTCCCAGGTTGGGACACATAGTTTTTCAGGGCATGAGCCCGCTGTGTCCCCCTTTGCCTGGCAAAGCAATAAAGCTAATCTTTTCTACTTCACCCCAAACTCTGTCTCCGAGATTCAATTAGGAGGCACCAGTGCACAGAGGCCAAGTTTTTGGCATCAATAACTGTACAATGAAATAGAACAATAATCGATGCTTATAATGATGACCCTGCAAATGAAGAAAACTTTAAATTACACTGTGCTTTAGAATCAGAAGTCCTGGATTCCAATCCTAACTCATTACTACTAGTTGTGTGATCACTGGCAAATCAGGTAGGTCGCTCAAACTCATCATCCTTGAAACGTGGATATAACACTACCACCTAACCCATACTTTTGTTGGAGACACTAAATGAGATATTTTACATGAAAAGAACTCTGTGAACTCTAAAGTACTGTAAAATTGTTGGTTAGCTATTATGCACCGCTTAATGAAGCAAAACAGAAGACAATCAATGAAGTTTTCATTAAAATAGTTAAAATGAAAATATTTCGACACTTAAAAGATTTGGTTTAGGCTATCCTGAAAATAACATGTTTATATATTCAATTCCCTTTTATTAAACAAAAAACTTGGAATGGTCTATTCATTTATTAGAATGTTATCTTGCCCATTGTTATTTCCAGATGGTTAAATGAGATATCCATATAATTTCAGATGTAGAGATTTTAAAAATTAAGTAGTAACCTCCAATGTACCACAAACATCTGAGGATACTGCAAAGTCTCAAAAATGCAAGAAGCTCAGAAGTGTATGTTTCACAATCTTTCATAATTATTAGCAAACAACATCACATGAAATGGCTATAGATTTTGATTCAGCAGGTCACAAAAACACCCTTACAACTTCTTCAAGTACCTGGTGTAGAGATGAAATTGATTATTTATATATTATGGAAGTTCTTTTTCGTTTGGTTTTGTTTTGCTTTTTGGTTCTCTGGCATGTGCCCAGACTTTTAATTCTCTCATCTTTTCTATTAGGCTGTAAAGTTCCTTTGGGTAGCAAAAAAATGTTTGGCTGCAGCAGCTAATGCAGCATTCTTCACATAATAAACTTTAAGCTGTGCTCATAAAAATCTGTAAAAGGTAACTTGCTAATCATGTTAATAACCTTTAACCAAATTTAAGGGAATCAAATGTATGTCTAAATTCCAACGTCTTTAAATATAAAATTAGTGCAATAATAGTTAGCAAGTCCTACTCTTGATTAGATTTCTAGAGTTTTCAAACTTTGAATAGCTAAGCAAATTGCAGATCCCAGGCTTTCTTCACAAGAGCTCAAAACTCAACAGTCATAGTAAACTCGTTTTACCAAAAAGGAGAAACTCTGAGATCATTTTTTAAAAGGGCAAAACTAATTTCACTATAGCCGGCATTTGCACCTGAGCATTGTTTTCCGCTGTATATAATTTACTTGGAGTTAGTCATTAAATGTTAAGACTATTATATCAAAGAATGTGAAATTTCTTCTTTATGAAGAGCAGAAATTACAAGAAAAATTATTTCTGAATATAGGCTTCCTTTTTAAATCTAAAATGGAATATAATTCTAAACTACCTGAACTTGGGATTTCCAAATTTTTAAATCTTATATTTTTCTCTTGTGTCAAATGTTTGGCATGATATTAATATCTGCTACATAAATAAATGAATCCACCTGTGGCTTTATATACACAGACGTGCATGTGAATATTGTAATTGAAACACCTATGTCTCCATGTCTGTCTCTATAAATGCAATTAATACAACTGAGGACCAGGGGTGAAATTC